GCAGCCCGTCCCCCCCAGCCCAGTGCACAAGAAGGGCCCCTCCTCCCCACCCCGTCCCCTCCAGGCCAAAGGGAGCCCTCCACCCCCCAGAGGGGAGGGGGTGGCAGAAGGGGCTCCCCGCCTCCCTCCGTTCAGGACGCCCAGAGGGCCTCGGGCAAAACCAGGGCTCCCGCGTCGTCCCCGAAAGCGGGTCAAGAAGCACATACTAGAAATATAAACCGGGTATTAGAAGGAATTTTGAGAATAACCCCTCCTTCGCCAGCCCCCGCCCCCACGGAGGGAGGCCGGAGGAGCCCTCCTCCCCAGCGGTCGCCCTCTTCCAAAGTCGCCAAAAACCCCCGTCGGGCTGGGGGTCCTTGCAGCGCCCCACCCGCACCAAGACCAGCCCCCTCCGCCGGCAGAACCGCCCCACAGCCGAGAACCCAGCTGCCCCCCGGCCACCAGGGTTCCTTGTGCCAAGAATCGCCTGCCTTAACGTCTGGGGAGGGGTCGCAGCGGAGCCGGCCGGCGCCCCCAGGCGGGCAGCCTCCCCCAGCCCGCCCCAGACTGGAGGGGGGGCAAGTCGAACATGCGGGTACATTCCAGACGCCTCCTTCCCGGCGCCCCCTGTCAGTTCACTTTACCTTTAGGCACCTTGATGACACACAGGGAGAGACAGACCCCGGGAAACAGAAAAAACAAACCCAAAAAACCATCCAGATTCCACGAGGAGAAACCAGCACAGAGAGAGCGTGGGAGCCCACCCGGAATCCCTGCGTGCTGGGGCCATGGCGTGGCCACCTGCGTGGAACCTTCTGGAACTCACCCACCACCTCCCAGCGCTCAGGGCTGCCGCGCTGGGCCTGAAGGGGAGGCAGGGGGCGAGCCTGTGCTTGCAACTCTCTCTCCAAAGGGATAAAGAAGATGCTGAAGAAGGTGGAATATGCTTGCTCCATTTTTTGCCAAAAAAATTGACGAGGGAGAAGGAAGAGTCAGAAATGAAGATGAGCACCCCCACACCCCCCTGCTCGTCTCTCTTCCCTTCCTGGTGACCTCCAAGGTGACCTCCAAGGCTGGCCGGCAGCTGGATCCTGAGAACCCCCCCGCCCCTCCCCACGGTTCAAGATCTGGAGGCTAGAAGGAAACTCACCCCCCCAAACCCCGCCCATCCACTGCCTCCCAGGGAGGTAGTCACCCCCTCCCTCCTTGAGAATGCAAAAGACATTTCTAGTGAAATGCCCCTCCCCCTCCCCCAGGTAAAGGCTACCTCACTCAAACGTTCTTGTCTGTGATTGGATAAATCACGCCTGATACCAAAGATTCCCCCCAAGGACCTGTGCTGGATGCTGGAATTCCCTCGCCTGGGACCAGGTGTGGCCCAGGGCCTGCCCGGCCCTGCCCTCCAGGTGTGCCCTGCTCCTCAGCAACGACAGAGAGAGAGAGACAGAGAGAGAGAGGGAAGGAGGGAGAAGAGAGAGAGAGAGGAGGGAGGGGTGGGAGGGACAGAGAGAGTGAGAGAGAGAGGGAGAGAGGAAGAGAGAGACAGGGAGAGAGAAAGGGAGAAGTGAAGGAGAGGGAGGGAGAGAGGATACTGAGGTCGATGAGTGCCTTTTTCTGGAACCAAAGATGTGTGTGAAATGTTCTCTTGTCCTTATCGACTCGCTATTCTCCCAGCTTTTTAAGCAACCGATCTGAGTGATGCTTCTAGAACCTTTGGGTGTTGGGGCAGAATCCTAAGAGTTCCTGTTCCCGCTCAGCAACCAACCCCCCCCACCCCCACACACACGCCCTGCTGTCCTTTCTGGGGTGGTCCTGGGCGCTGGAGTCTGGGTGGCCAGACCCCTTCCTTCCACCTCTCACTGTCACTTGGCCCCATTGGACAGGGTGCCTGCTTGCAGGGGACAGGGCTTCTGGGACACCCCGTGCTGGGTAAGTCACTTGCTCTTCCCAGCATTTAAGGTCCAAGGATCAGAGGCCAGAGGTCTCTGTTCTGTCCCCTGATGGATAGTTAGGAATTGGCTTGGGACCGTTCTGGTTGTGGAACTTTCTAGCTATGGTGACCTGCGACCAGATCGGGTCAAGCACGACCAGCCCGGGTCACAGAGGCATCCCTGGATTCCGGGGTCCCTTTCAAACACTCACACACACACACACCAGCTCCAGTCCAGCCCCTCCAGGGGCCCTGACCCCCAGGCCCCCCCAGCGCCCCCCCATGGCCCATCCCCACCTCC